TATTTTTAAAATATAGCTTTTGGTTTATTTTATTATCAATTTCTAAAAATATATATAAAACGTATAATTTTATAAGAACAAATATGTAACACATTTAAATTTAAGATTTTTTAAAAACATTTCAATTTCTATATTCAATTACATAATTAAAATCCATAAACGGCCTAACGATTTTCAAACTAGAGCCCTTTCGTCTAAAAAATATATTAACGCTTAAACTTTATGCAATTTAACTAATTATGTTATTGCTATTTAGAATTACTAAAAAAAAAAATAAAAATTTTGTACACGGAAATTATATACTCTCAGCTATTTAGAACAGCTTTTGCTTCGCTAAACGGCCTAATAATCGTCATTCCATAAACTTTTTTTCTAAGGTGCATTATCGTTTTCTATAAATGTGGTTTAAATTCCACATATAATTTAAATAATTTTCTAATTAATATTCAGAATTATTTTATGAATGTTCAATTTAGGTACGCGGAAACTAGAAACTCTCAACATTCCAAAACCGCTTCAAACTTCAAAATCGTTTGAAATTTCATCAAACTAAATTGCTTTCTGTGGAAAAAAAAACAGTTCTCATTTAAGGTGTTTTAAATTAAATATAATTCAAATAATTATTTTTTAATAAATATTCAGGATTATTCCAGGAATATTAAATTTAAATACACAGAATCTACATACTCTCAGCTATTCAAAACGCCATCGAAACTTAAAATCGTTTAAAATTTCAACCAAACTAAAGACTCTTTTACAAAATGGAAATTTCATGACAAAAAAACTGTTCTCAACTTTGAGTAATTTGATTTGTTTTGTAATATATATTAAACATTCTTATATTAATTTTTGAAATATATGCAATGAAAGTGTATACTCTTAGCTCTCAAAACAATTTTAATTTCCCTAAACGGTCTAATATTCTTCAAACTAGGTCCCTTTTTCTGGAAGCCATTTTCATTTACAATACATAGTTTTAAGACTTGTCTTTTAGATTGAATGTAATTGAAATAATTTTTGAATAAATATTTCGAATAATTATATAAATATTAAATTTAGGCACACGAAAACTAGATGCACTCCGCTTTTCAAAACGCTTTCAACCTTTGAAATTGTTTAAAATTACACCAAAGTTGGGACTTTTTTCCAAAGGGGGAATTTCATGAAGAAAAAAAATTCTTCTTCAACTTTAAGTAATTTAAATTGTTATAAAATAAGTATTAATTATTGTTAGATGAATATTGAATTTATATGCAATGAAAGTGTATACTCTTAGCTTCTCAAAACAGTTTTTACTTCCCTATACGGTCTAATATTCTTCAATCTAGGTCCCTTTTTCTGGGAGTCCTTTTTCGTTTAAAATAAATATGTTTAATAAGTGTCTTTTAGATGCAATGCAATTTAAATAATTTTTCAATAAATATTTCGAATAATTATATGAATATTTAATTTAGGCATACGAAAAATAGATTCTCTTAGCTTTCCAAAACAGATTCAACTTTTGAATTCATTTGAAATTGAACCAAATTAAAGATCCATAACCAACCAAAATGACAATTTCATGGAATAAGACTGTTTTTAAATTTAAATTCTTATAAAATGCATATTAATTATTGTTATAAGAATATTCAATATATATGCAATGAAAATGTATACTCTTGGCTTTTCATAACAGTTTCGACTTCTCCAAACGCCTTAATAATTTGCAAACTATGCCTGTTTTCCGGAGGTACATTTTCATTTAAAATAAAAACATCAAGTTCACTCGAATTCAAATAATTTTTTAAATTAATATTTAGAATTATTTCAAGGATATTAAATTAAGATTCACGAAAACTATGTTACTCTCAGCTTTCCAAAACAGCTTCAATCTTAGAATTATTTTGAAATTGGCCCCAATTAAAGACTCATTCAAAATGGGAATTACGAGATAAGTAACTGTTCTCTCTCCACTTTAAGAAATTAGAATTGTAATAAAATAAGAAATAAAATACTGTTATTTTAAATATTGAAAAACGTACAATGAAATTATATTCTCGTAGCTATTCAGAACAGATTTTAATTTTCTAAACGGTTTAATAAACCTTAAACTAGGGCCTATTTTCTGAGAGGCATTTTCGCCTAAAATATGTAGCTTAAATTCCATCTAATTCAAAAAATGTAATTAATATATAAAATTATTTTATGGGTATTGAATTTCGATAGACGGTAACTAGATACTCTCAGCTTTCTAAAACAGTTTCAACCTTTGAAATATTTTGAAATTTTACCATAATAACGATCATTACATAAAATGGGAAATTCAAATAAAATGTTTTGAAAACTTATTTTTAACTTTAAATATAACATAATTTAAATAATTATTTAATTTATATTTCGGATAATAATTTAAATATATAATTGAGGCATATGAAAAATAATTACTCTTAGCTTTTTAAATCTGTATCAAACTTTAGAAATCGTTAGAAATTTCAGCAAACTAAAGACTCTTATACAAAATGGGAATTTAATGGAAAAAACGGTTCTCTCCACTTAACGTAATTTAAATTGTTATAAAATAAATGTTAATTATTTGTATATTAATATTCGAATTATATACAATGATAGTACGTACTCTTAGCATTTCATAACAGTTTTTAATTCACTAAACGGTCTAATAATCTTTAATCTAGGAACCTTTTTTAAGGGGCATTTAAATATTTGTTTAATTTTTCCATCTAATTCAAATAAGTTTTTAATTCATATTTGCGACTATTATATGAATATTTAATTTGGATATACAGAAACTAGACTCTCTCAGCTTTCCAAAACGGTGTCAACCTTTGAAATCGTTTGAAATTTCACCAAACTAGGCACCCTTTAACAAAATGGGAATTTTAAGGGAAGTTGAGTTGTTAAAAATTTACTTTTCAAACATTATCTAATTTAAATTATATTTTTATATGTATATATTGATTTCATTTGTATAAACAATTTACATACAATAAAACTATGTACTCTCAGCTTTCCGAAACAGTTTTAAATTTTATAATCGGTTGAAAATTAAGTCAACTAGGTGCCCATTTTTAAAAAAACAACTAAAAAAAAAATCTGAAAAAATTTAACAGAACTTTTTAAATTTGAATTATTCTTTTAAATAATTAAATTATATTCGATTTCAACGTCGTTGTGGAATTCTCAATATATTTCAAATTTTTTCAAATGAAATTTTCCCCAATTTTTGTCTGGGTCTAAGCATGCTAAAAATCAAAATATTTGCAAAGTTCGTCAAAATTGTGTTGCATAGTTTTATTAAATTAAAGCAATATCAAAAAAAGCAAGGCCAAAAGGTTTTAGGAGGGTGTTTGGATGGGTCGTACAACAAAATGTGGGCTTTTATTTGTATGCTAAAAGCTTCCTTTGTGTCGAGTTCGTTTTTTTGATTTTTCATTTTTCGTGGTTAGTTTAGGGAAGAAATCATAACTACATCAAATAAAATCAAAAGAGGGAGGGTGGATGCCATAAAAAAATGTGTTCTACAAAAAAGGATTAAACAGCTTTGGATGTCCTTGTTGTTGTTTGGGTGAAATGATTTGAAAATTTTTGTATTTGTTCTCAAAATAGAAGCATAGGAAAAATTTAAAATTAAAGCATTACAAATTAGATGCTACAATGTATGTAATGATAAAAAGAGAGAGAAAATATTAAAGAGAGGATGCGAAAATTCGATTTTTTAAAAGAAAACAAAAACTAGGTTTTTTTGTTGGGTTGTTGTTTGTTTTTTTTTTCAATTGTTGGCAATTTCAAGAATTTCAACCACCCAACAACCAAGGTTGGTGGTGGGGATAGTTGGATAATTCATGGCATTTGCAACAATTCTCTTTTATTCGACAATAATAATATGTAATAATAATTAATAATCATTTGTTGTTGTTGTTTTTTTTTTAATTTTCTTTTTTTCTAAACAATAGAAACATTATAATTTCGTTTTTTAAAGCTTTTTAAAACAAGAGCTTTGTTTCTTTCTTTTCATACTTTCGTTCTTCTTCATTATGTAAGTTATAATAGGTAATGTGTGTGTGTTTGTTTATGTGACTTTTTAGCTTTTCATTCATTTTTTCAAAATAAGTAGTAATAGTAGGTAGATATTGGTAGATAATAGTTAAAGCTTAAACTCCTTCATTTCATATTTTTTGCACTCTTCTATTTTAACTTCATTTCTTGTAGATGTTTTTTTTTTTTTGTAATTTTTTTTCAGTTTTTAAATAAATATATGGTAATATTTTTTTGTTTGTTGTTGTTTTTTTTTTTTTTTTTTTGTATAATAAAGAAACAAGTTAAAAAAGGCTTTAAAAGTCGGTATAGATCCGACTACTAATTATTACCCTACATCCTTACCAAAAATTGTTGTTTGTGTGTGTGTGAGAATTTTGAAAATGGAATTTAAATTTTGAAAAAATAATAGAGTTTTGAAATCTGCAACCATAGTTTTTTTTAGTTATTGTGCAACTTACTAAGATTCTAAATTATCTTATGTACTTTATAAGCATCTAACTAAGATATTAATTATCTTATGTGCTTTAGTTTGACGACTATGATTGAGATTGTAGGAGAAAAAAAGGCCATAATTGCAGGGGAAAGTTCCATCCAACCAATTGCTTGCCTCTCATATTTTCATATATTTTTAGGTACATTTTCTTATGGAATTTAAATATCACTTAAATTAATAACAAATAAATGTATCTACATATCACACATGAGAGGCCAGACAAAGGGATGATGGTTTTAGTGGGGGTGGGCAAACATAGATGGGAGGTTTGGGGTCCTACACATAACTATACACACTTATTTTTTAAAGAGATTAGTGTGCTGCATGCCATATTTCAATGAGATCTCTTGGTAATGAAGGAAAGCATAAGAGAGATAAAAAATTTTTAACAATAATTGAAACTGTGACTTTTAAAAGGATTTCGGGAGCTTTTTTTTTATAAACTTTTATGGTCACTAATATTCCTTGAAATTTAGGCCTTCGAGGGGTGATGCTTGAAGGCTTAAATAGAAGAGATAACAAATATTTAACAATAATCGAAATTAGAATACTTTCGACCCCAATTATACCCAATTTTAAAGGGGTTTCATCAGTAAACCGGAAACCACGGCCCGAAAAAGAAAAAATATCTTGAATTTTTTTTACCGAACCTTTTTAAGATTTAAATCTTGGGAATGGGGTTTTAGGGACACCATCTAAAACTAGCCTAAATAAGATCTTTTGTCCAGTGTTCAAGGTGGGACAGAATATACAGGAAGTCTGCTAGATCTTGGCCAACTTTAATCCCTTTTAGTTTCTCCAAAAACTATGGCCTAGGGAAAACTTTTTTTCGGGGATCACATAAGGACTCAAGTTTCAGGTAATCAAAATCGAATATTGAATTCCCTATAGTACTACCAAAAATTAGCAAATCGATACAACCTGAGTACAGAGCATTAAATGGTAGAACTTGGTAGTTGTAAAACCCCTTTTGGTTTCTCCTAAACGAGACTATGGCCATGAGTGTGCAGCATTTTAAGGATCATATAAGGATACAATTTTAATGTGATATAAATTAAATATTCCTGTCCTTATAGAATTCCAAAAAGTTAGACCTCTATATGGCGTATTAAATAGTCTTAAATGCCATTAGATTCCCTAAAAATATGAACTCGATTTTTAATAAAATTAAAAATTGCATTTTTGAGTACAGGACCTTAAAATGGTAGACCTTGGTAGTTGCATTACCCAATTTTGGTTTCTCCTAAAAGAGACTATGGCCATGAGTGCGCAGCATTTTAAGGATCATATAAGGATGCAATTTTAATGTAATATAAATTAAATAATCCTGTCCTTATAGAATTCCCAAAAAGTTAGAACTCTGTATGGGGTATTAAATAGTCTTTAATGCCTCTAGAACTTGAGATGAACGTTAAAGGCCACATAAGGATATAATTTCAACATGGTATAAATACGATATTATTATCCTTATTGTCTCTCCTAAAATATGAACCAAATACAAGGCATTAAAGGCTAAGATAAACGATAGATTTTAATTGAAACCAAAAATCTCAAATTCTGACCTTTTATATCCGTTACAAAAATGACCGTACGATGGGTCCCATTTTTAATGCTATATTCTTAAGAAGATTACCTAGGAACGTGGACGTCTAATCGAATTTACAACCCTCTCTTCCGCTCTGATATTTAAATAATTTTGAAATAATTACAATTTCGGCGGAGGGATTAAGAGGCCTAATATAATACAATTTTAACCTAATCTTAAATCAATAGTCTCTCTCTCAAGGCCACATTTTCAAGAAAACAAAATAATTTATGGACTTGGTATGAAAATAATGGGTAGATCGTGACCGGTATGAATTGTTAAAAATCAAAAGTTTTAGTTTCCCTAAAAATATGGCCTTGGCAAGGAGGTATATATAAAGAATACACTTTAACCTAGTTCAACATAGATGTTCGTGGCCAAAGCGGATTTTTTGGCACTTAAAAATATGGATTTTTGGCCTCTTAATTTCATTCCTGGGTCTTAAGAGTCACAAAATAACACTATTTTAACCTAGGTTCTTGCCCATCTAAATTTACTAAAATAAAGGTATGTAGTGACAAATTTAAACCAATATTTATGTGATTTACTCTCTTAAAATTATGGCCTTGTTAGGGGGGAATAACGAAGAAGTTATTTTTATCACTTTTATTCTTAAGAATACTACTTTGGAAAATAAGGGGGGAGATTTGAGTATAGAGATTTTCAAAAAAAAAAAAAAAAAACACAAAATCTCCGTATTTTATCACTTTGTTCTTTCTTTTCTTAAGAAAACCCAATGGAGGGGGAAGTATGGTATCCAAAAATATGGATTTATGGAATTTATAACAGACAGACAATGTATGAAAAAAAAAACAGTAAAAAAGTGGGGTTTTGGGGGTCACACAAACAACAAATTGTCCCAAGGGGGATGGATGGGTGTGGCTGTGGATGTAGGGTCTTATTATACGAAGAATCTTTCAAACAAAAATTATAATTGTATTGGTAAAAAAAAATATAGTAGAAAAAATATATATGGCGGAAATTGTTTTTTGTTGTTGGTGTAGATGTTGTTGCTGATGTTGTGTTGATGTTGTTTTTGTTGTTCTTGTTTTAAAAAAAGGAAATCTTGAAGAAAAAAAGGAATCACCCATTTGTTTTGTATAGAAAAAACTTTCGTAAACATCGTCTCTTGAAAACACGTTTTTTATCGTTGTCGTTGTTTAACTTTGGTTGCCAGGGCGATGATGTTGTTGTTGTTGTGAGGATTATGGTGTTGTTAGTGTTTATAATCCAATTCCATATGGCAACCATTATAAAAATAAGCAGTTTTAGAGGCTTTAGCCATGGCTAGCCACTGGCCGTAGCCTGTTGTGGCTGATGGTGATTGTGGTGATGATGATGATGCGGCTGATGTGGATGTTGTTGTTGCTGCTGTTGATGTTGATGTTGCTGTTTTCGGTTATAATAATCATTGGAATTGTTGAAAAGATTTTTAGCATTACGTTGGTGTTGTTGGTGTGGCTTTGGACCAAAATGTTGATAGAATGGTGACGATGATAGGTTTGGTGGTGATGATCCCAAACCACCTCGGTTCGGTGGTGATGATCCCAAACCACCTCCACCGGGTATGATTTCATAATTACGCTGTTGTTGTTGTTGCTGTTGCATTCTTTGTTGCCTTTGCTTCAGGAAACTTTCGGCAGTTGGCGATAGGCCAATATTAATCGGTGATGAACTATTATACGATGAATCATAGGAAGAACCAAATTGATAAGAATTTTGGAAATGCTTTTCTTTATCACTGTTGCGCACTGGGATACGACCGGAACCAATACGTTGTTGTTGTTGGGTTTGGCTGCCGCCACCAATAAGAAGACCACCACTGCCTCCACTTCCGACTCCGCCTCCTCCTCCATTACGATAAATGGGTAACATCATTTGGGATTCCTCGGAATAGCATTTACGTTGATAGCCAGGTTTGTTACTACCAGAGTTGTTGTTGTTGTTGGCATTACGCACCGAGGCATAAATACAATCATTACGCCAGTTGCGTATCTCATTGTTATTTTCAGCACCACCACCACTATTGTGGCGGGTAGGTGAAAATTTATGATTACCCATGGTGTATTCATTATCGGAGGGTGGAGTGCCACCACCACTGCTGCTGCTGCTATTGCCACCATGATTGCCACGTGGATTATTCTCCTGTTGCTGCTGCTGTTGGCGATAACAATAACTAGGCAACATATAGGGATTACAACGATTGGCAATTTGCTGCTGCTGGGAGCCATAACGTGGAAAATTGCCCACAGCCGAGGAGGTTCCCGAGTTGTTGTTAACGGGATAATCATAATAACGTTGCTTATCGTTGTTGTTGTTGCTATTGTTACGATATGAATGATTGTCTAGATTTTTAAAATTCTTCAAATTGTTGGTGTTGTTGTTGTTGGTGGTCTTCAGGTCATTATTGGTGTTGTTGTTATTGTTACGTTCGCGCCAATTTTCCAAAGGTTTCTTCTTCTCCTGATTATTATTGGTGTGGCTAATATAACGTGGTTTTTGTTGTTGTTGGTGTTGTTTGCGTGTCTTATTGAAATGTTGAAATTGTAGAGGCTTCTTAAATATGCCCTCATCATCATCATCAGCATTGTGTGGGATGATTCTTTTGGGATCACGTGGCTTGATAAAAGTGGATTTGTTATCCACAACACTGCCATTTACATTTCCAACTTCCTCCTCATCATCATCATCATCACCTTCCTCCAAACCTTCATCGTCATCATCATCCTCCAGTTCGGCATCATAATTATGATAGGCATCATCATCTTCGTTGTTGTTGTCCACGAAATAAACACAACGCTGGGGAGCTGGAATTGGTGAGGTCCTGCTGCTGCTGCTGGTGGTCTTGAGTATTGATGAAGTCCTGGGCGAGGGTGAAGAGGACGAATTGCTATGCAATTTCTTTTCCATATCCATTTTCTCCTCTTTATCACTCCTCTGCTCAAAGGTGTGCTTCTTCTTCTTCTTGTTCTTCTTTTTCTTTAATTGTGGTGGGCTTGTAGTTATAATAGTTATCATAGGTACTTGACTTGCTGGCACGGCATCGTTTACATCATCATCATCATCGTCTTCATCATCTTCTTCCTCATCATAATCATCAACAGCACTCCTAGCTTTTGGGGATTTTTTCTTCATCTTCTTCAATTTCCTTTGGGGTTGTTGTTGTTGGTTTTTGTAATTTTTCAGATGTTGTTTTTCTCCATTAACAACAGCATCACCAACCACATCTTCGTCATCATCATCATCGTCCTCGTCTAACTCAGCATTTTTGTTGTTGTTGTCTGCTTCTACAACTTCGTTAACATCTTCATCATCATCTTCTTTATTTTGATTGCAATTGATTTGATCAATTTTATTGCCAGTCTCATCAATTATTACATCAGGTAGCATTGCCTTTAAATCACTGATACTTTCCAATATATCATTATTAACTGCCTGCTGTTGCTGCTGTTGCTTCTTCTTCTTTTGTTTCTTCTTGTTCTTAACACATTGTTTATTAGATAAATTAATAAACAATTTGTTAGCATCATCATCATCGTTGTTAAGATGCTTATCTTCATGATTAGCATCTTGCAAATCGTTGGCCTCAATCATCACTTGGTCATCTTCATCCAGATATTTATATTTCCCATAAACGGGTTGATCTAAATCCTCCAGATCATGGACCCATGAATCTTTCTTAAAGACATCATCATCCTCGTCATCATCTTCCTCCTCATTTTCATAGACCTTGGGTGTTTGTAAAATATTGTAATCAGACTTTGAAATTATTTCCCCAATACTACTACAGCCACCATTATTATCCAAAATCAAATCCTTGTTCCAATCATCGCCGCCATCATCACCCCCACTATCATCTAAATTATGCCAATAGGTGGAGAGTTGATTTTTATTATTATCGGAATTCTCCTGATATTGCTGCTGATCATTTTCCACAACATCTTCTTCCTCATTGTGGGTATTCAATAAAGAGAAATTAATCGAGGTGGTATTATACAATCGAGATGATGATTTATTGCAATTGATTGCTGGTGGTGGGGGTGGTGGTAACATTAAACCTTCTCCTGCATCACCACCACTGCTGCTGGTGGCATAATTATTAATCGATTGTTGGATATTCAAAGGTGAGGGGCGATGACGGCTCTTGGAACGATGGGCTTTAAATGGCAACAATTCCTTGGGCTCTTCGGGGTGGTGGCCACCATTCTGGGAAGATTGATAGATATTGGGACGTTCCATCATATAATCGTAACGCATCGAGAAATGTTGCAGGATAACACGCTTCACAGCCATGGCGGATTCGGCAAAACGTGAAATTTCACGAGCCGATTTATTGCTAAAGGAAAAAAGAAAAACAATTACTTTTTTCAAATCAAATAACCCCTTCTCAAACACTTACCGTCTTATATTTCCTGCAGTTAATAAAGCTTTACGTCTATTTTGCATTTTCATGCTATCGACAGGTTCCATTTCGGAGAATTTTATCCATGGATGATTCAATACGGCCTCGGCACTTAAACGTTTGGGTGCGTCCTTAACCAAAAGGCCACGAATTAAATCTTTTGCCTCTTCACTTACATCAGTCCAGTCTGGATCAGGAAAGTAAAAACGTCCTGCAAAAACAACAACAACAAATTCATAAATTAAATTTATTAAAAAAAAGATTAACTCTGCTTTCACCATCTTGTATAGACTCGAATAGTAGCTCTTGGCAACGGCGACAATTTTCACCACGATTCCAGCCGCAATCTTCATCGCAATTACCCGAAAATGGTGGATAACCGCACAATAAGATATAGGCAATTACTCCCAAAGACCACAAATCACAGCGTTTATCATAATAATTGGATTCGCCAACAAATAAATTAACAACTTCCGGGGCCATAAATTCGGCACTGCCAACCTGTAGAAGGAAAAGGGAAAGAAATGGAAAATATAAATAAAAATTAACGAGCTGTAGGGAGCCTTTATAGACGAGCTGAAAGGAGTCTTTATAGACGAGCTGAAGGGAGCCTTTATAGACGAGCTGAAAGGAGTCTTTATAGACGAGCTGAAGGGAGTCTTTATAGACGAGCTGAAGGGAGTCTTTATAGACTAGCTGAAGGGAGTCTTTATAGACTAGCTGAAGGGAGTCTTTATAGACGAGCTGAAAGGAGTCTTTATAGACGAGCTGAAGGGAGTCTTTATAGACTAGCTGAAGGGAGTATTCATAGGCAACCTGAAGAAAGTCTTTATAGACGAGCTGAAGGGAGTATTCATAGGCAACCTGAAGGAAGTCTTTATAGACAAGTATTACCCTTTCCAATTAATATATTCTACAGTCATGGGAACATTTTATAATCTTGTAAAACTTTTCAATTCTAAGGCCCTTTTATACCTATTATTTTTTCTCATTACTTACCGGCGTTAAAAGTTGTGGCGTTGCCACCGGTGATGAAATATCAGCGGTAAACGTTATACCCGAACCCAAATCGAAATCACATATCTTAATGGGGCACAGCTTGTCCGGATAGACGCACAATATATTCTCTGGCTTGAGATCACGATGTGCAATGCCCTTCTTATGGATGAAATCCAAACTAGTGGCAATTTCCTTAATGATTTGTGCAGCATCATTTTCCGAGAAACAAATATGCTCCTGGATGCGGCTCAGCAGTGCACCACCATTGATTTTTTCAAAAACCAAATAAAATTTATCATCATCTTCGAAGAATTCCAAAAGTTGTAAAATGCCGGGATGACCTTCGCAATGGCGGAATGTTTCCACTTCACGAAAGACACGAGAACGTGCATGACCGGGAATTTTATCGATAACCTTGACAGCATATTCGAGATCGGTGTAAATGCTGACACAGGTTTGAACGGAGGCGTAGGCGCCCTCACCCAATATTTCACCGGTTAGTTTGTATAACTCTGGAAGGGGGACAAGAAGGATTGATGTAATGAAGGGGGGTTTTTCAAATCGGACATACCTTGAAATGTAGACGAGTGCCATGATGAGGTTCTCTTCTTCCGGCGTTTCTTCTTTTGCATTTCCTCCTTATGGCGATTGAATTTCTCCTGACGCTCTGTCTCTGTCAGTTTTGGAGCATCACTGGATTCATTGCCTGAGACATCATCTCCACAGCTGTAACGACTAGGTTCATTTTGATCACCTGCAAGAAGAAAAAACAACAAAAACCACAATTAATTTTATGTTTATGTCCATAAAACAATTTTAAATGCTTAGTTTTGAAATTATCTAAATAAAAATCTTTATAAACAAATGAAACAACGTGTGAATTACGTAGATAATATTTAGACTAGTACACTTCCCCACGCACATAGTTCTTGAGAATTAACAAAAAAAATATTGACACACTTTTTTCTTAAGAAGCGATAGTCGGCAGCAAGCCAAACAATCGAGAAGAAGATAACCGAAAAAAATTCCCCCATACAAAGACTGACAGACAGACAGCTAGTCAATCATGGAAGATTAGTGGCGAGTGAGTGAAGGCGATCATTCTGGCATAGATGGTATTTTTTAGGCATAGATGACGTTGTTGTTGCCAGTTGTATTATTGTGGGTGATTTTGAGAAAATTTAGCCTCCACAAAAGTTCTCTGAAGGGAGTCTTCATAGACGAGCTGAAGGGAGTCTTTAGAGGCGGGAGTCTTTATAGACGAGCTGAATGGAGTCTCTATAGAAGAGCTGCAGAGAGGAGTCTTTATAGACGAGCTGAAGGGAGTTTTTATAGACGAGCTGAAGAGGGAGTACGAGCTCTTTATAGAGAGCTGAAGAAGGAGTCTTTATAGACGAGCTGAAGAGGGAGTCTAGAGTCTTTATAGAGCTGAAGAAGGGAGTCTTTATAGACGAGCTGAAGAAGGGAGTCTTTATAGAGACGAGTCTTTATAGACGAGTGAAGGGAGTCTTTAAGAAGGGAGTCTTTATAGACGAGCTGAAGAAGGGAGTCTTTATAGACGAGTCTGAAGAAGGGAGTCTTTATTTATAGAGTCGAGCTGAGGAAGGAAGCTGAATAGTCTTTATAGACTAGCTGAAGAAGGGAGTCTTTATATACGAGCTGAAGAAGGGAGTCTTAATAGACGAGCTGAAGAAGGGAGTCAAGTTTTATTGACAAGCTGAAGGTGGTCTTTATAGACCTACTGAAGGAAGTCTTTACATTCGAGCGGAATGTGATAGGAGTTTTTTTTGTTTGGTGATCAGAGGTATCCTTTATAGACTGGAGCTGGAAGCAGTCTTTTTAAATGCTAAAGGGTTTATATAGACCAGGTGAATGGAGTCACAAAAAATTGGTCTGCAAGAGACCCTAATGAGACAACCAGGCTATGAAAACACTTCAACTACATGAGACCCTTTTGTCATCACCCAATAAATGATCTCCCAAAGAACCTTCCATTTCATAAATATTGATAACCTTATCATTCCGAACCAAATTTAGATTTCCTGTGTCCCTGCAAGCCAAAGAGAAAAAAGTTCAACCAATCTCATAGTGAATTGCAGCTATTTTTACAGAACTTTTGCTGGACCATAATAATTTATCTACATTTTCTTCTTCTTCCTGCTTCTTTGTGGTTTCTTCTCATGCAATTTCCCCCTAGAACATTCCTACCTCCCTCCTTCCCTCTCTCCCAGCCTTCAATTGACAATGCTAGGAAATTAAATTGTCGTTCATCATTCGGACTCCCTGTATCTCTTCTCTAGCCCCATTTATGATTGATTAAAATGGTCTGTGTTCCACAGCAGGCGGTGGGGTTCGTTCACATTTAATACCCTTGTCGAATGATAATAAATAATTCTATAAAAAAAATTAAAAAAAAAATAATAATAATGAATTAATCCATTGTAAAATAGCACCACAGAACTCAATTCTCGTTCATATGTTTTTTAATGCTTGTTGTTTCGATTTCAATTTTGAAAAACAAAAACTGCAACAAAAACAATGTTGGTGTATTTTTTTTTTCAATGGGGAAATGTGCGCAGTTGAATTGGATATGTAAAAATAATTATTTTGTTTTTGTTGTTTAATTAACTTAATTTATTGTTTAATTGTTGGGGGTGGTGGTGGTGGTGATGGTGAGATATTGGGTCGATGTCATGATGGGACTAAAAATAGAATTCAAAGGAGGTGGACAGAGAATATTGAACTGCCTATTTTTGAATAGAAAAGAAAACATAGCATTTATGAAACATATTTTGGCAATTAAAATATTGGCGATGTTATAAAAAGAAAACATTGATTTGTGTCCTATTTATAGTAAAAAAACATAGATTATCATTTATGAAAATAACATGAGCTGAAGGGAGTTTTTTTAGACGAGCAGATAGGAGTCTTTTCAGACAAAGTGAAGGGAGTCATTATAGACAAGCTGACGCAGGATGTCTTTATATAAGAGCTGAAGGGAGAATTTACAGACGAAATGATGAGACATTTTTATATACGAGCGAAAGGGAGTCTTTTTAGACGGGCTGAAGAAAGTCTCTACAGATGAGCTGAAGGGAGTCTCCGAAGAATGTATCGAGGAAACTCCTTTCAGGTTATCCGTAGAGACTTTCTTCAGAGTAAAATTTTGTGTTATTAAGACTATGAAAAATATCATAGAATTGTTGTAGACGATAGCAAAATAACATAGAATCATTATTTAAAAAATAAAATATTATGAAATTTATAATATAATAACATAGAAATTTTAAAAACGTTATGGAACCGTGATAGAAAAGTTATTCGTATTATTCACATAACATAGAATTATAAGGGAGCAACATTATGCAAGTTAAAAAACATAGAATAGTAATAATCGTCCTAAAAATACATAGACACATTTTCTAAGTCAGAAAAATAACATAGAATTGTTTTCTATGTCACAAAAATCACATAGAATTATTTTCTATGCCATAAAAATAATATAGAATCCGTTTTTATGCCATAGAAATAACATAGAATTATTTTGTATGCCACAAGTATAACATAGAATAATTTTCTACATCATAAAAAAACATAGAATCATTATCGACATGTAAGGAATGAACTAGAATCAATATTCTGGTAATCAAAATAACATATCATTTTCTAAGCTATAACAATAATATAGAGTAATTATTCAATTTATGGGATTAATATAGAATTAATTTCTACGTCCCACAATTAACATAGAACCATTTTCAATGCCATGAAACTAACATAGAATCAATAAAGAATGATTTTCTAGGTCATAAAAATAGCATAGAATATTTTCTTATGACATAAAAATAACATAGAATAATTTTCTGCGTCATAAAAAAACATAGAATCATTATAACAACAACATATAATCGATATCCAGGTTAAGAAAATAACGTAGAATCATTGTCTTCGTCATAAAAATAACATAGAATCATTATACACGTCATAACAATGACATAGAATGATTATCCGTGGTATAGAAATAACATAGAATCATCCATGTCATAAAAATAACACAGAATGATTATATGTGTTATGAAAATAACATAGAATCATTATCCACGTCATTATAACAACATATAGTCACACAGTTCAAATTAAGGAAATAACGTAGAATCGTTAAAAATAACATAGAATGATTATCCAGCCCATAAAATTAAAATAGAATCATTATCCGCGTTATGAAAATAACTTAGAACCATTATTCACGTCATAAAATATCATATCTGCACTATGAAACTAACATAGAATCATTATCGACCTTATGAATATAACATAGAATCATTATCCACGTTATAAATTCAGCATGAAATCAATATGTAGGTCAAACAAATAACATGGAATTATTATTTGTGTTATGAAGTACAATCCCTATCTACGTCGTTCAAATAACGTAGAATCATTATCCACGGAAGGAAAATAACATAGAATCATTATCCACCTAATAGAAATGACATAGAAACATTATCCAAGTTGAAAACATCATTATCCAGTACATACAAATAACATAGAATCATTATCCGCGTTATGAAAATAACATAGAATGATTATCAGCTTAATAAAAATAACATAGAATCATTATACACGTCATAAAAATAACATAGAATGATAATCTGCGCTATGAAAATAACATAGAATCATTGTCGACTTAATGGATATAACATAGAATCATTATCCACGTTATAAATTCAAAGTATTATCATTATATAGGTCAAACAAATAACATAGAATCATTATAAAAATTGAATAAAATCACTATCTACGTCATTCAAATAACATAGAATCATTATCCATGGCTGGAAAATAACATCGAATAACTATCTACGTAATGAACATGAATTAGAATATTATCGAAGTCAAAAATATAACATAGAATCAGTATTCAGCCCATAAAATTAACATAGAATCATTATCCGCGTTATGGAAATAACAGAGAATTACTATACACGACATAAACATAACATAGAATCATTATAAGCATTATGAAAATAACATAGAAACATTATCGAGCTAATTGATATAACATAACTATCTACGTCATTCGAATAACATAGAATTATTATCAACGTCAGAAAAATAACATAGAATCATTATAAACGTAGTGCAAATGATATAGAACCATTATCCAAGTCGAAAATATAACATAGAATCAGTGCTCAGCCCATAAAAAGAACATAGAATCATTATCCGCGTTATGAAAATAACATAGAATGATTATTAACTTTATAAAAATAGCATAGAGCCATTATCCTCGTTATGCGTATAACATAGAATTATTATTCACGTCATAAACATAACATAGAATCATTATATGAATTATAAAAATAACATAGAATCATTATCCGAGTTATGAAAAAAAATCCGTGCCATAAATATAACATAGGGCCATTATCCGTATTATATAAAGAACATAGAATCATTATCCGCGTTATGGATATTACATAGAATAATGATCCACATCATTAAAATAACATAGAATCGTTATCCGATCATAAATAAAACATAGAATCATTATCCGCGCCCCTTAAATATAACAAAGAATTGTAATCCACATGTTGGTAATAACATAGAATCATTATCCGCATTATCGAAAAAAAATCTAGCAATTCAAGTAAATCAAACAAATATTTAAAACAAAATATATCTCTTGCCAATCTCCATCAAGAATGACCCATGCGAACGGAAAGTTTGGTATGAGGTGATAGACCGACCAGA